GATTTTCCTGCTTTTCCATTTTTACGAAAACCACAGAGGCGTCTTGTTCAGCGTGCTGTCAAACCTACACTAGCAAGGAGATCGGGCTGAAACTATAGCTACAAGCTATCCAAGGATGGTACTATAGAATGTCACCTCAAGGTAGGCCTAGTGGCGTCATCTCTTGGTTAGGCCGGAAACTTATCAATCCACCCTCGTAGTGGTGAGCGCCAAAGAATAGAGCGGTAGGTAGTCTCCTTTTAAAAATCGTGTTAATGGGTGGCGGTGGTTAGGGTGAAAAGGATGAGACCGACGAAATGAAGACAGAAGTTTAGTTTTTAGATAACTAGTACAACCTACAGCAGTATTGCGCATATGATAAGTACGTATCCCGTAGATCACAATAAATCTCCAGCCTCCCATCTCAAAAAGTCGCAGAAAAAATATTGGCGATCGTTGAGAAATTCATGATGCGTTTCCAGATTATATTTGAAATTCAAATTTGTGTATAAAAGAAGGAGAACAACTTACTGATGTTTCTTCAAAAGAATGACAAATATTTATCGCTTAGCAAGAGAAGTTCGAGAATTTTGAAGAAAAATGAAAATTCCTTCGGATAATTCCATAAAAATTTATGTAAATAGGCCTCTGAACGGAATTAGTTAATAGATGTACAGCTGATCAGTGATATAAACTCCGAAGTACAGACGAATACCGAGTAATATAAATATAGTGATGAGTAAATAAATATTAGTAATACATTATGATATAAATAAGAAAGTGACGAATTACTGTACAAATACTCGTTAAATAAATAAAATTAATAGTAGAAAAATCGTTACAATATCAACAGGAAAAGTTGAAACTGGATTAATTCAATTAAATTAATTGAAAAAAAATCGGCTCTCTCACCCTCTGTATCTACCACTAGTGAACTGTCAGCCTGTTTATAAACATAGTCCCCCCCCTCCAATTTTAACAACATGTTACTTTGAAATTTGTGCATATTCCGTATGAGTGAAATATTGTACTGAATAATAAATAAAGTAGTTCAAGTTAGTAGACAAATCGGTCAAGAGCAGTTGCGGGTACACTCTTTTTTTATTTTGGTTCCTGACCATACATTGTGAGTCTGCAAGATCGAGATTTTACGTTGGTAACTTGGGCGATGTCGGATGAAACAAAAAAAGTTCTACCGAAACTTCTCCAACCAGCCGAAATGCGGCCCTGAAAACCGAGCAGACAACACTAATTCAGGTTACCCATCTATTGGAGCACTTTCGATTACGATCCGTAATCAACAAAACCGTTGAGGTCAGTTTCGGACAAGTCAGCGCCAAGCAAAAATAATACGAGACTGCATGTTCACCTACCTGCCTGTCCGCCAGCCGCCAGGTACAAAGTTATATTATGATTTTAAAAGGTAACTCATCGTAATTTTTCGGATATTTTCGTCATAGCTCGACGGACTCATACAAGCCGAGACAGTGCTGAGCTCGATTGGCGCGTCCGTCTCGATTTGACTGAATTCAGTGAGTTTTTCGTGTAGTACCTAATAGTAGTGGCGCTGTAGTTTTGCTGGAAAAACTGTCGGTTGTTTTGCACAGAAACGCGATTTTAAAATTGACCGTGGTGTTGTGAAAGATTGTGTTAACTATTGTGACTACTTTTTACGTGCGTACTGTGTCAGTAAAGGGTATACTTATATTGTAATATTTTTGGTACCTGTTTTATTACCTTTACAAGGTGAGTGAATCCTTTAGTATGTGGTTTGTCATGAATAATAAACGCTTCTGACGACTGTATCTCCTTTAAACTAGTCGGATGTGTTTTTACTAAGAAATACGGGTAAGCGGTTAACGATTTCGTTGATAGCTTCGAAGTAATAGCTAACTCACTAACCTAACAGGTATTGGCCTGTATGTGTAACTAGCCAGAAATTCACGTGGTTTAACATAATAATAATAATATTAATAGCGCTTATTATTGATTTATTCACAGTAAATGCTACAAAAAGTATTATGTATTTCTGGTCAAATACAAAGTATTTGTACGTAATGAACTAATGATAAATGTGTAATTACCAATAAATTTAATCAATAATCTCTAATAATATACGCAGGTATGCTCGGTGAGTAATAAAACTGTTACTAACAGTTTGATATTTGTGTAAGCGGTTACACTGACTTTACAGAAATTAAAAGCAACTTCTTTTGCAATTTAAATATCCAATAGATCTGCCTAAATAAAGTTTTAACAGTATGCAGGTGCATAGGAATTGAGAGTTACGATAATATTGTAGATGAGTAGTTTGTAAAAACCTGTGAGTACCAATTTTCCTTTGAAAATAAGATTATTTAGTAGGTTCATGCATATAAATTTGTGTTTTTTATAATAACCTTCGTATCTGCATATGTAAAAATGGTTTTTCCATTACACTTTTTGTTGGTGCCGTACTTGATTGATTGGTTGAGCTATTATGAAATACGTACACGTAAAGATGATAACTTTGTAAGTGTATATATCTATGTGTATGTTATGCTAGGTAGGTATTAAGTCGTAAAGTTTAGAAAAGCTAATGGGTCATTAATCAGACGATTTTCCTGTACCATAAAATAATTGACAAGGACGGTGTGCTGACATCGGTTATTAATTTGTTGTTTCTTGACTTGCCTTTACGCGAATCTTTTTGTTTATTATCTGTAGGTAAGTACCTACCTACTGTAGCTTCCATACAGGAAAAATCGCGAAACATGATGGTAAATATGCAAGTTGTCATATTTTGAAATGGTAGCTTACGCACCCATTGTATGCGTAGCATAGCTGAATGTGTGTTAAAAGTGTACCAGATTACGTGCACATGTCTTCCTCCGGTCCCTTACAACACACGCACACATATAAACAGTTCCCAGAGAAAATAACATCTGCTTCTTTGTGAAGTCTGATGGACTTGTGATGGTGTGTATGCAGTAGCAGACAAAATTATACGGGCTTACAAACATATACGGGGTTCTCCGTTTCTGCTGTGCTGCTTGTGCTGTTCGCACTGTTTCATGACGTAAGCTTCTAAAATAAAATCATTCGCCGTTCTTAATTTATTCCCTTCGCTCATATTTTTTAATACCGGAAGATCAATAGCAGTTTAGTAGCATAAATTTATCTTCGAGTTTTTTTTTTCGGATACGTACATATTTTGTATCATAAATTTGCGGGCATAAATAATGTGCGTGGGAGCTTTTAAATATCAAACATAGGATTATGGAGTTTTGTAGATATATAATAGAGGAATCTCATCAAAATTTTCATTCAGGGACATAGAACAATTTCCTAAACCTTTTAAGTAGCCAATTGCAAAAAATAACTAATTGTATAGTACTGGAAAGTTGTCATAGATAGTCAAAGTTTTTTAAATTGCGTTCCGGGGAACCCCGAAGTTTCAGGATCATTCAAAGGTTCCGCAAAACAATAAAAATTAATGCCCCACTAATGAATGTTTAGTTTGCGAGGTTATGTACACAATGGACAATTGTAGATACGGTTAAGGAGTGAATCACAAAAACTCATTTTGGATTCATTTGCTTCTGAATCGCCAGAAGAAATTAGGATTTAAGAATATTCCAATAAAATTACAATTTGGTCTTTTGGTGCCGGTTCTTTAATTTTCGTTCGATAATTAGGAAATATGGTAAAAATAGACTTCTTTCATAATTTCATGTCAAAATGCGTGTAGGTAAAACTGCTTCATGAACTCGAAGATCATTCATGGATACGGGTTGTAATAAAATAAGAAAAGGCCATGGGACCATAAAAGTAATATCGGTCCTTAGTTAGGTGTCTACTGAACCTGCAGGTAGCAGAAATTAGCATTACAGTATCATCAAGAAATCGGAATTTTGGTCAGTTCCTAGAAGCATTAGATCGCATATAGTGCTAAATCAATAGCGACTTGAAGGGATAATTTATAAATCTGTTCGCAAAAATACCAAGGAAGGGAAGACTTGAACATTGTAGGCGCACTATTCATTATTAATAAAACCAGAAAATCCCTTATTTCAATAAGGCAACAGGAAACTGTATAGGAATAGGAAGTGCCAAAATTCACCGAAAACAAATAATTCCGGAAGAAACTGATAACTGTGAATCCTATACGCAGCTAGCTTTGATACAAATATATTTTATAGAAAAGAATTTTTAAGGGTTTAATATAAAATTACAAACTTTTCACATGATAAACGCTAAATAATTGTCGAATCCAATCCAAACATTCTCACAAACCCTTTAGACAAAAAGAACATCACAAGTGAAAATACTGAAGAATTGACTCTGCTGTATCCACCTGATCATATGACCGAGTCATAACCGCTTTATACGCGTTGGAGATTTTATTTGATATATGCTCTTTTATGTAAGGCATCATAAAGGTAGCTGCTAAATATAAATTAAAATTGTTAAAGATTGGACCAGGTCCATCATTAAAGAGAAGAGACATGATGCCCAAAGATGATAAAAAGGAAAAAATATCTTTGCGATGCTACTGACCTAAACAATATCGTAAATTTGTGGACGAAACTTAAATACAAACAAATTCAAGTAAGGCAATAATAATATTAATATCGATTAGGTAATATAAATATTAACCTACTGTATTAAGAATGTCTTTCGGGTACGATTCCCGACGAGGGCGTGATAACAGCAACAAAAAGATTTTTCTCATTGACTGGAGGTAATCTGTAGTGGAATGAAATTAAGATGATTTATTATTAATAGTTGATAACTAATCGATATTATTAGACCTAGATTAGATTAGATTACTGTTCACAAATAGTTAAAAATATGGGTTGTTCTAGTTTTAGGGAAATGCGAACATTAGCTCGGGATAGGAAAGAGTGGAGGTGCGTGTCCAACCAGTCTTAGGATTTATGATGAATTATCTATTATGTAAAACAAATTACTTCGGTAGGGCCCTGACAGCAGGAAAAGAAAACACTAGCATGGTCCTTTTGCATCCAGGAATGATTTTAAAAAATCTCCTTGATCGAAAACTGAATGAATAAATTCTTAAAGTATAACCGTACGCCTACTGTCTATTGCGTATTTCAAGAAATTGGAAAGCTTATTTCATAAATTAAGCAAAATTTTGCCGGGTACACGCCATCCTCAAAAACGTATATACCAGCAAAATAAATGTGTAAATAAGTACCTATAGGTACGAACCATATTTTTTGGTTTCTGTTTTCTTTTTCCTTTTATTACAATTAATCCTACTTAAACAAAATTGCTTTCCCTTGGTCTTATCCTACCAGCAATTTGTCATTTGTTTTGGCGTGAAAAACTACTTTTACTCTTCTTCAATTTGTGTAGTTTGATACCGAATTAATGACACCTACAGATGGGCTGGTATCTGGTTATTCACAACGTACGCTTTTAAACTGCTTCATTTACGACCGTTTTATCTTGATAGTTATTTATATTTATTGCTCAGTTAGTTATAGTGCCTGACACACATTGCTATCGATTTGTTATCATTGAAGTTATTTTTAGTAGGCAACGTCTCTAGGACAGAAACTAATACGAATAGATAAAAAGCCATAGGGCGTAACTATCAATTAACTCATGAGAAAATGCACTGAAGCACTGTTAACGGTTAATTAAGTAATGCCGGTACATGTTTGTGTTATCCGGCAGTAAGTTTTCTGATGACCTATAAGTGTTCTACTGTTAATGGTTTTGGACATGAAAGTTTAACTGCACGAAATTCTCATCGATAGAAAAATGACCACTTCCTCATTTCCTCACACACGCACATTTTAAACTGATATTGCTTGCTCTTTTTAAGGCTTGATTCCCACTAAGGACGCTCTCGGTCCGGTAAAATATTTTTACAGAAGAAACAATGAGCCCATTCACATTGACGTTATCGCGCTGGTTTCGATCCCATCACGATGTTTCCAGTAATATTTTATCGAAGCGAGATCGGACTATAACACGCTCCATTCCGTCCCGAGATAAAAATGTTCAGTATCTCAGAGTCTCTGAAAGCGAAACCCGAGTCTCCGTCTCTCATCGAGTCTCTCTGGTGTCGCTGAGAGAGACTGTCAAAAAAACTGTTTAGCGTCACGTCAGAACGAGAGAGTCGAATCGCTCATGGAGAGATCCTTATTTCGTATCCAGTTTCTGAACGAGAGACTCGAATCTCTGAATAAGAGACTCGAATCTCTCAATAAGTGGTATCTCGATAGACATGGTTAAAATTTTCTAAGTTCAACATATTTCAGAGATCCCAGTCTTTCTACGAGAGACTCCAGTCTCTCAATTTTTCAGTTTCATTCATTCAGTCTCTCTGTGAGAGACTCGAATCTCTGAATTAACAATGTTATCGTTCGAGTCTCTGATACAGAGACTGTAAGAGATCCCTAAAATAACCGAGAGATTGCGAAAGACTCTGAGAGACTGGAGAGAGACTGAAAATTTTTGTCAAAGGGTGTCAGTTGTATTCTCTGACGAGTGTGAGTGAACTTATTATTTGAAAATGATATTTCTTATATACATATTGGCCTTCAATTTTTCGCAGTTGCAAATATGGATGCATCCACGCATTCTTCTTTTCTTTTATTTATTCTTCGTTTTTAGACTTTTTCATAACCTTTGTTAATAGTAATAGTTACAACAGCAATCACAGCTAATTCTTTTGTGAAAAAAAATAATGGCCTTTTATCTCGACTGACGAAAACCTGATCGAAACCTAA